GAAAAAGTGGTTAACAATATAGAGTACTCAGTACTCTGTTATTCAAGAGCATAAAGTCGTCCCATGGGCCTCACACTCGATGAGCCCGTGTTCACAAAAATTAGACCGAAGCCACGAAAGACTGGGTCATGATTATCAGATGGTCAACATTTTTTTTAATGGGGAGCATTTCTTAGTCACGTATTATCATGCATCGGCGTTGGTGGTGGCACCGTCCGCACCTCCCCTCCTGCGCGTGCTGACGTCTCCTGCCGGCCTAGAAAGACATCCGCAAGACTGTTTCTCCCCTCCCCATCTCTCGCCTCGCAAGGCCGACGCAGTCAACGTCTGCTAGTAAAGAAACAGCTGCTCGAGCTGCTCAACTGTTCACTGGCCACCTTGTATACACCTTTTCACAGAAAGGAAAAAAACACCGCCATGATAGGCTGAGCGCGGGAGTACAAAGGCTAAGGGCGCAGCGTTGCCAGTGCATTTTCGAGGGGACGCGCCAATTTGCAAGGTCCAAGGAAGGCTATGGCGGTGCCAGAGAGGCGTTTATGAAGAGGTGAATATGTAGGTACTGGATCGCGCGTTCGGAATTCAGTCAAGGGCGTCTTTACTTGGCTTTCGCCTGTCGTTCAAGGCAACGCTTCTGCTTCATTTATTTAGTAATAATAATAAAGACGAAATAACAATTGAACATTCCCACACCTTGCCCTATTACGCAACATTCGGGTGATACCCCCATCACTCTGCGACACATTTACTCGAGTTCCACCAGTGGGCGTTTTGAATAAGTGGATAACGATTCACAGTTCTCGGTACTCTATTATGGGAGAGCTGAAAGCCGTCCCTTGGGCCTCGCCCCACTAGCAGTGCGGGCAACAGCCTAACATGCGAGGACGGAAGAGCAAGACGCACGTAACAGTGAAGTCACGCTCTTGTTGTGCACTCTGAAGAACACTTTGTCTATAGAATGGCTTTGTGGGTAGCAGATGTGGACGGTGCCAGCGTTCATATACGGGCCGTGGCTGTAACTCACATGTCCTACTGTGCATTCATCGAATGCGAAAGCCTCTTTTTTTTCAGTCAATGCACTGATACGCACGCCGTACACCTCATGCTTGCTGCACCAATTGTAGTTTTGCAATGTTGCTCCCGAAAGAGAGGCATTGCAAACTTTCTGCCCTCTCACCTTGTTCTGCCCGGCATGCGTGATTGGCCCACCGAAGAGACAATGTCACGTGATTACGACCCCATCTGACCTCGTGACATCACAAGTTCAATTATCTGTGACGTCATAACCTGAGTTCCAGCACCGTGAGGATCATATTTCGAATTACTCTTCTCGACGCCGACACCCCGAGACGTTGACGCCGCCTGCATTCAATGCTCCCGTTTGTTGAGGCATCCAAGGTTTTTGTTTTGAGCGTCCTGGCCACGTTTTTGCCCGAGTGAGGTGGTTAGCGCAGTATATAAGTTAATACGCCATGCTCATGTCGTCATAGTGCCATGTTGCATTGCCGTACAGAAGTGGAAATCTTAAGAGCACGCTTTTATTTTTTAGGCGAAATATGAATGATTGCTCACAGACAACACTGCTGATGAAAGCAACTTTCCTTGGCAGTGTTTCCAGTTATAAATTACTGTCGTAGTGCCAGTGCGTTATGAAGCGTAATCCACGACGCGGCTCGGTCATAATCGTCAATACAGCGTCGTCTTGCATACCTTTAGAACTGTTTGAACTCCACTGAAAAAACGAACAACTGAAGAGATGAATAAAACAAACGCGCAGTCTTCTCTCGTGCTTGCCGTCTTTCTATAGCACTGTCAAAACAATTTCGAGATTCACCTATCAAAACTACGAGCTCAACGAACGTTGCGTCACTCACCGTTCCTTCTTCCTCGGCGTTCCCGCGTTGACGCTGCGTTGTATGATGGACTTCATGTCGCAGTACACTCCCTTTCACGTTTCACAATCCCTGCCAACCAAGACTAACTAGTGACATCGCCGCAAAGAAGTGGTACCTCAGTAGACGCACTTTTTTCAAAAGGCACGAGCCACACAGAGACACCTCTTGTGGAACTATGCGCCACCGCCGGGTAATCAAGAAGCAACGCCAACTGCCATCAGCAGCAAGATGATCAGCCTAGAGCTGCAGGCAACCAAGGAGACGTGGTCCAGCACGTGCTTCAACGTCCTGGAACGCCAGTGGCCGAAAGTGGCGCCTTTACGGGTTTGTCGCGAGTACAGGTCAATAGCTGCTCCGGGACGTCCGAGCACGCTAAAGTGACTCACTTTAATTCCCCTACCCATCCCCCCTTTATGCCGGATCATCAGTAAAGTTGTTTCACTTACTCGAAATGGACTCCCGAAGGTTTGCTTGCAAGCCGCTGTCAATCGGATGAAGTGTGGCAACGGCGTGAGCCAAATCGATCCTGGGGCTTCAGCGGATATCTAGCGGCGTTACAACGAAACCTTCGAAACAAGAAAGGTTTTTTTGTCTTGTGCATCTTAACAAGCTGAAAGCAGCTATCACAAAAGAAAAAGACACGCAAACAGGACGGGTGTATATATCAAACGTTTAGCAGCCGTCCTGTTGACGTGTCTCCGCATGTCCGATGCTGCGCATGTCCGATTCCAAACTGCACACGTGTGTTGGCCGTCCTGTCTCTTCGTTCAGCGATTGTTGCTTCCCGTCCTTCTTAAGATGATCCAGTTCTGTTATCACCAACTACGCCGAATTTCGGCGCTGAATGCGTTCTTATCTCCGGTTGCTATAGTAACCGGCGCTTCGTGAAGAAAGCCGCAGTGGTTGTGCCGCGAGGCGAAAGTAAAAGTCGGTGGTGGACAGGCGAATGCGTTATGCGCCACCAACAGCTGCCGAGCTTCGACACGTCACCGTCCATCATGAATTTAGCTCGTCCCGCGAAGTGTCAGTTGCTCTAACGCCGCACGCAGCGTTATAAACCGATGTTTCCTCGAGACCCCGATCAAGAGGCACTTCCGCCCCAAGCACAATGTCTTTTACAATACCTGTGATAAAGAGTGCTTACCAGCGCAAACGACAGGGCAGGTGGGGACAGGAGAAGAGACGAGACATAGCACTGAACTGCCAACAATTTATTTCTTGCAAAGGTTTTCGATTTCATACAGTTACCAGTTTATACAGTTATAAATTGTTGGCAGTTCAGCGCTCTGTCTTGTCTCTTCTCCTGTCCCCTCCTTCACTGTCGTTTGCGCTGGTAAGCACTCTTTATCATGTTATACGAACACGCCCGATCCTACTGTCTCTTGAGCTACAATACCTATACTCCAAGAAACTGTGGCATTGCGATCGTTCAGCCACTGTGGTAATTATGCGTATTTTATACGTAAAATCCCAAAATTTATTTTAATTATTAGTTTTTTCAAGTTATGTACAGCCTCTAAATCTTCAACTATCGTGCGCGAGCGGGGACTTTTCTGTGCGTCAGCGCCGTACGACGAAGCCTCCGTAGTGGCAAACAGGGCGTGGGCATTCGAGTAGTTTCGGTTGTATTTTCTCCTCAGAACAATAACCTTGCAGCCACAAATCGAAGACCTAACATTACCATATGCGCCCACTCCCGCACTGATGAGGTAAGCAGTAGAACGCGATTCATCTGCACAGCGCCGACAACAAGGGAGAGTCTGGTAGACGACGGGCTCGGAGCTGAACGTGCTTTGTGGGCACGTGTTGATCGTCCTGTTTGCAACTCCTGTTTGCAACTTGGCTCCGTCGTACGGCGCTGACGCACAGAAGAGTCGCCGCTCAAACAGTACAGTTAAACATTTGGGCGGATGTACAGCGTCAACATTCATGAAAGGGAACACGGGAGCGCGTGGCCTGCGCGCTCCGGTGGCGGCTGCTGGCAGCGCGTTCAAGCGGGAGCGATAGCAACCACATTCTCTTCTAGCGTCATCTCACGGCGAGCAAAACAAGATGTCAGTGCTGATGCAGAACCTCTGGCAAGCTTGCGACCCCCTCCCCCTAGAAGGCGATTACGCGAGAGGCAACAACTTCTAAATCCTGTGAACTGCATGGGTGCACACGCAGATTGAAGTCTATTTCGTTTTTTTTAGATTCACCATTAGGACTTCGCCCCATCCACTTACGGTTAGTCCGTTTTCTTAAGAAAGTATTCAAGATCCGTAAATTTAAATTATTTCGTTCTGCGAAGACTACCAATAACTCCCTTCTGGCATTTCTATAAAGTCGATGTGATATTTCCGCACTGCATGGTCTCAGGCCTGTTTCTTGCCTACTTTGGCACAAAGTCACAAATCGGTATTGTTTACTGTGTTTTCACTTTATTAATTGCAGACCCTACGTCTCGTAAAAGCGTTCAACCAGGTGGTCATCGTGGTCTGATGTAGGTGTGTATGGCTATACCACCTCCATTCTGTACCTTTTGTTAAAACTTAATTACGATACTTGTCAACCTTTCACTGACGCTATAGTATTCCTCTATGTTGCCGGTCATATTCTTGTGTATACTAGGGGGTTCTGATTTAACGTGCACCTAAATCTGTCTCAAGCATTCTCGGAAACACTTCGGTGTGCACAAAACAGACGAGAAAACGAAAAGCGAGGAGGCCTCAAACATTTTCTCCTCCATCGAACAGGCTGCTGGCACGGCCGGGAATCAATTCCGCAACCTGCGGATCCAGTACTTTAGCCACTATACCAACGCCAGCCCAGTACTATAGTACTTTAGCCACTACGTGGCTAGAGTACTAAAGTACTTTAGTACTTTTCTACTTTACTACTTTTGTACGTGGCTAAAGTACTGGGCTAGACTTTAGCCAACAACGTGGCTAAAGTCCAGCCCAGTACTTTAGCCACTATACCAACGCGGCGGGTGACACCCAAGTAAAGATTTAGGGTCTCTTGAATTTTTTTCAGCTCGCAGCCACGCCAGCTTTCATCAACGCTGTACTTGAGGATAAATCCTTGAGCTCTGTCGCGTTCAGGGTGAAAGCCGTGGACGACGGAGCTTCACGACACATCGACGATGTTGTAGAGCGCGTTGAAGAGCCGGTGACGCTCGCCGCAGACGCCCAGGTAGTCGTCAAAGTTGAGGTCGACCACAGCAAGGCCGTTCTGGAAGTGTCTATTCACCACGTTGCCCTGCGTTCACAAGGTGCGGAAGCCGCAACACCGAGGTCAACCCTTTGTATCGAATGTTTTACGGATAGATTTCCGTGGCACATCGAACTGTTAACTTTGCCGTTTCGTACCTACCGGGTGATTCCTTTCGAAACTGACCTAATTCAGTGGACGGTATTTGCGTTACAATGATCCTGATTGTAATACGATTCGCATCAAAATAAATAGGAACAACGAAAATTCAATAGACCTTTCTGTTTTTCCACGTGAAATTTGAATAGAAGGGAGCAAATAAGGAATAACGAAAACAGGAACATTGTGCGAGGGAAGTGCATACTGTTGAATTAGGAACAGGTTTACGTTTAACAAGTGTCCGCGTATTCCTTAATTTTTTGTGTGTTTGTGTGTGTTTTCCCTAAGAATATGTTCTCTCGCTATAAGCCACGTACAATTAAGGAAATATAAAAGCAAGCATTTCTAGCGAAATTGCAAATGTTACTGCCCTCACATTTCGGAGAGTGGTATACATGCAACGTCGAGCGGCGAGTTTATTACACACCTACACTCTAAGCCGAAATTCGGCAAAGTTGGACGAACTGCAGTCGTTAAACCAATGGACGAACGGTTCGTCCAACAGGGACTAAATGTGTGACAATGCGTGTCTTGCGCAAACGCCCGGCAATGAAGGGACCAACGGGGAGGGCAACTGCGCCGCGATCGCCTCCTGTCGATGCTGCACTGCAATGCTCGGCGTGGTCGGCGATCATGAAAACAAGTTAAATAGGCTATACGCCACTGTGAAAGTGAAGCACTATGAAGGATTATTAGAAAGGAACCGATGAGCCCAGGCGCATGCTAACAACTGATTTCATTGAAGGAAAGTCTCCACTTTTATACAGTTAATTCAATAAAATCAACTATTAGTTTGTACCTGTGCTCATCGGTTCTTTCTTGTGTGTCCTGTTTAGTTGAGCTACTCACGACGGCTTTTATATCGAAACACCAACTCTTCCAACAGTCAACTTTTGTCAAATGACAGGGGCTATGAGACGCACCAAAGAGACGGGATTCGGAAGTTTCTTTCATCCAATCTTCTCAGTGCTGACTGACATCGCAAAGTAAACGCCACGTTGACTGCTGATTATTGCAACTGGGTCTACGTTCTGCGCTACTCACAATGACGGTGAGCGCCTTGGAGGAAAACGTGACGTAACAGTCACGCTCGTCGTGGTACACGTGACAGGAACTCGTCGGTAGTGGTTCTTCGGCTGTCATGTCCGGTACCTTGAGGCACACCTGCGCCCGTGCGAGTGGAAGGTCTGTTCCTGAAGACTTCTTTAAAACATGGGTAGTGGTTGCCCCCCTTACGCCCCCTACGACCGCTGCCGACGCGCACTTACCCGAACTCCACACCATTTGACAAACTCGACCCTAATACATACCCGACAAATATGTTGAAGTCCTGTCGAACTGAGGTCGCCACATTAACCCACGTGCTCTGGTATTGTACGAAATACCCGCGAGTTGTCAACTCCGCCATTCTTCCGCCGCGGTGGGCCGCTTCCTTGCGCAGGCCCCAGCCTCAGCGAACTTTGGGCCGTCCAGAAGGCCCGCGAGGCGGTAGTGGCCCAAAGACTCAAAATCCACACGTGGGAGACCTAAGGCCTGGTCAGCAAAAGCTCTGCTGGGCTACTAATTAAATTATTTTTACCAGCCGAACCAACAGAAGCACTCACCCCTTTGCTCCACGGAAACCACATCAAAACACAACGCTTAAGCTCCCCGCGTCTTTGGGCCGCCACCTCCTCCACCCCTTGCAGGAACTTGCTTCTTGCAGGTGCCATCCTGAATGCCCCCCCCCCCCCCCCCAAGAAAAAGAACCCGGGTGCCGAACCTAGTTTAGAACTTGGAGTCAAAGAACATGATATGAGCCTCAAACAAGACAGAAGTTTATGGTTTAAAAAAATGGAGGCTTGGATAGATGAAAAATGCATTGGAAAGTCAATGCTGCCCTATCAAACGTTGAATGGCTCTCAGCGAGTGTGTGTTTTCAACCTGTCATCCCATTCCAAAGCGACGAGTCATAATTCATAACCACTTGCAGAAGCGCATAGAAAATTGGGCTGGTTTCCTGTTTATTTTCAATACTCGTAATTACCATCATCCGCAGCAACTGCGCTGACACGTCGGCATGTGCTTATTGTCTAACGACGTCCCAATAACGCTATCACGCTCCACTCTCGAAAGCGAGGCATGAGTGTCCTCAAAGCCGGCGTTGCCGCCTCTGGCCACTTCAGCCCAATCGGCTACTTTTCGACCCGTTGTGCGACGAAAATTTATAGTTGGCACCACGGTTATTTTCTTGATACTTTTAAACTCCTGGTTTTACTTATTGAAAATGTTTTTGCTTACTCATCAACAGTGAAAACTCCGCTCTTTACACCACTCCGGTTCTATTTGGCTACAAACTGGCGATATTATTAAATGACATGGCTACTTTGGCTACTTTCGGCTTAAGTTCTCGCTCCTCTTCAAGTCCACCCAACTGCAACTGTGCTCGAAGCTTTCAGCGCTGTTTCTCGCGAAAAAAATATGGGCGTGAAGTGAAGGCAGTACAGTCTTGATCTACGGCATTTACTTCTGTATTCGCAGCGACGGTTAGCGCCGGCTGCTGTGTTGTGCTGGCTTTTGCCATGGATAAACAATTTACAATGTCCACTGCGCGTTGTTACATTATTCAATTCGTTTTCATTAAATCTGAATCCGAAGGCCAGATGTATACACTCGGTAATACATTAAGCTATACAAACTGCGACCAGACTTCCTTCAAGACATAACGCCTCAGTGCGAGAGGCCGCATTAAATTACTCTGATGTACTCAGTCGATTCACATGTTCCTCCTCCCAAAACTGAAGCTCTCTTCGCGGCACGTGGTACTGAGCTGTCAATTGATGACGTCACCATGTAGTGATGTTTTGATTACGTGATGACGACACAAAATTTGGCTGACTTCATGATGCAGTCAGATGACGATGTCACGATGTGATGTCATAGTGAACAGTCTGGCGATGTAAATTTGTTTGTCAGCGTAACCTTTCTGCGTGTGACGTCATCACTCACTGGGAGAAGGTCACGTGGTTTTCTTTACTCAAGACTCGTGAAACTCTCTCGGATTCGCGCAAACTCTCGCAAGGTCTTGTTGAAGTCTCGCGAATTCCAACGCAAACATAGCCTCTTGAAGAGACACTAAAGGGCAAAACGATTTTTCGCGTATTAATAAAGTACAATTTCATAATCCTGAAAACGCCACTCTTTACCGCGACGCGACGCTTGGTAAGCCAGAAAACGCGCTAAAAGAAAATGCAGGTGGCGACGCCACCGTGCGATTCTCGCAACAATCACGACGACGTATGAAACTTCGAAGGTGACGTGCCGCGCGTCACATTTCAGCGCGAAATTTAAATGTGTCACTCTGACCATGCCTTTCTCCGGTAATAATGAGCTCATGAAATTCAAACTTATGGCTTTAGAGTTCTGAGAATACAGTTTATCGCTACAAACGAAGTCATTATTTCCGTTTAGTGTCTAACAACATGTTTTTTTTTTTTCCTTTGTTACTTTGGCCGTTGTACGACTGCCCACCTGCGCGAAGGGCACCTTCTGCGGCTTCACCACAGATTCCTTGCGGAAGCAACTGCGGCCTGCCTGGTCGGGCAACATGGTGTAGCGAAGCGGGGCCAGGCTCAGCGACAGCAGGCTCTTGGTGGCCACCGACAGAGGCTTGCGCTTGAGCCACTCGAACCACGGTTCCTGGGCCGAGGCAAGCACACGGAGCATCCATGATTACGGACAGGGCTCTGCTTCGGTAGACTATCAGCAAAGGATATCTCACAGGTTTAGTTCACGACTACGCATGCTAGGTTGAGAGCATGAAATCCTGACAACTTAAATTTTTGAAGCATTGATGATATGTGATGATGATGATGATGATGATGATGATGATGATTATGATGATGATGATGATGGGTTTAGCGTCTCAAAACCACCATATAGTTAGAGACGCCATAGTGGAGGGGGCACCTGGGTAAATTTTCGAAGCAAGTGAGTCTAAAAAAAATGTGTATGTTGATGACACGTGGGTCACAGTAGAGTGGACAGTAGTGGCGTAGCCAGGAGGCGGCACAACAGGCCCGTGCCTCGCTCCCCAAATATTTTTCGCCATATTATACAAAGTGAAAATTGACCGTATCAAGGCGGCGCCGCCTACCTCCTTCGAAATTACGAAACTGTGCTCCCCCCCCCTTACCACCTTAAAAAAAATTCTGCACATGCCCCTTAGTTCTATAGTAGCGCAAGGGCGTAGTGTGGCCGTATTACGCCATGTCTAATGATGTCATTTCGATGCATTTCCAGTGCTTAACTGGAACCGCAAAAATAATATATGCGGACACGGAAAGATAAAGGGATCGTACACTAACACCTTCTTTCCGTATCTGCACGTTCTTTTTCTTGTTTCTTTTTTTCTTGTTTCTTTTTTTACTCATTTCGCTTTAACAGCTAATATTCATCAAAGTTCATTATTCCAACTGGCTCAAAAAACTGTTTTCAATGATGGCGTTATATCAATATAAACTGACTCATTCTTTGACTTCCGTGTCTTTTTAAAGTATATTCACACACACACACACACACACACACACACACATACCCACACACATACCCACACACATACCCACACACACACCACTATGCACAATACTACACACAACACTGAATACTCACAAAGGAGCCGCTGTCGAAACCGCAGGCGGCGTGGCTCATGTTTGGAATGTGAGCCCACACCACCACATTCTTAAGGACCCTGCAGTTGAAAGAGGAAGGTGTTGTCGAGTAGGCATCGAAGTAAAACAAATAGCACGTAGCTGTGATTGATGCCCACGATAGAGCAATCGACAAGCCGGAAATATTTATTCAAGAAGATTTGCAAAAAAAAACAAAAATTAATGCCACGCAACAAATAGACACTAGCCTACGCTCAGCATTTCCTCGCCTTCTTTCGTCGACCAGGTGTAGCTTGATATGTGAAAACGCACCAACTATTGATGTTAACTACAACTTAGTGCCGTTGGTAGCAGACTTAGCAAACGTCCCTCCATGATTTATTTCTATCAGCTCTATCATTCCCATGCTAGTTAAATCAGTGTCAACCGTTTTCTAGTTCCGATAGAGTACTTGACGTCGATCGTATAGAAGCCATAGCTTACGCCGCTGGCACAGCATACACAGTATAAGCTCTTCGTAGTCATCCTAAATACAGGCCCCTGGTCACTTGGTATGTGTTCGTATTTGAGCTAGAGTTTAACTACCAGCCTGCTATGAGCGTGCTACCAGCTCTAATGTGGTTTATCACGATCGTTGGCTGTTATAACAGATAATTACACATAATACTAGCGCTCTTATCTCTCAGTTACCGCTTAAACATCACTGAATTTCCTATTATTTCGCTGGAGGAGAGTAAGTGTTTTTGTTCGCTGAAGCGAACACTGGAGCGTATCGTAGCGTTTCCCTTACATAGCTTAATACATACACTGCGTTTTCGGGACGGAATGAGGAAGGCATATTTCAAAAACAAATCAACTGAAATTTTACAACAACGTACAGTAGCTGCTGAGGGATCGTGGTCAAAAAGACAGCAATGCTCGACGTGATTCACGGCCCCAGTTCACAAGCAGAAGCATTGCAACAAAGGATGAACACAATGTAACGCAAAGAAATAGAAAAAAATAAAATTTCCAACCAAATGACAGTTGAATTAAAAGAGACTTTCAGGGGTAAAGCTCCTTATAGCGGCACTCGTTCGTCCCTCGTAGTCGTAGTAGTAGTGTGTAACCAGTCTAACATTTTGACCTCCAAAGTGTCGCCGGTGGGAGATTTCTTCTGCGCGTTGTTGAACAATGAAAAATTCGCGGGCGTGCGCGTTAAATAAAAGCCGAATTCTCCTGTCGCTCATTCCTCAATAGCAGCCATTGGCATGTACATTGAGTACCATCTGACAAGAAAGGGTTGCTACGTTATACTCGCTGGGCGTAACCTCCTTGGTTTTAGAAAGGTTTAGCAAGCGTTGGGCCGCAGTGCCATGAATACAGTGAACTATATAGTATATAATATGAACTCGAGGTGGTTAAAGGCAACGTTTTTAGAACAATTCAGTTTCACAGCTTCCCATAGGCGCCCACTATCCGGCGCGGCCGCATAGCGTGTCGCGGCCGCTAGGGGCGCTGTAGGCATGCTTTGCTCCTACAGCGCTCCTACAGTGCTCCTACAGCGCTCCTACAGTGCTCCTACAAGGGAAAGTGGCAGGTCAAATGACACTCCTTGGTTTCGTGTACTTGTGGACGGGAGCAAAGGCCAGAGAGGAAAACCAGGCAATGGTAGAGTGTATATCAAAGGACATTCAGGAGTTAGGAAGAGAGTGCGAGATAATTATACTAGAAGACATGAATGCGCACATAGAAGATATAGATGGGTATACCGACCCGACAGGCAAAATGATCATGGATATGTGTGAAAGGCTTGATTTGATCATTTGCAACAGTACCGAGAAGTGTGAAGGGCAAATAACATGGGAGGTAGGAAGGCTTCAGTCGACGATAGATTATGCACTGATGTCACATAGGATGTATGATAAGCTCAGGGAAATGCACATAGATGAAGGTGGCTCCAGAAGTCTGGGTAGCGATCACAAACGTATCAAGCTAAGTTTTGGAAGAGCAGTGAAAGTGGGAAGGAGACAAGATGAGCAACTACAGGAAAATTTTTATCCAGAAAGGCAAATTGAAATAGCCACTAAACAAATTGAGAAAGTAATCACGGAGGATAATAAGACAGTGTGGACATACACGAATTTAATTAGACTCTTTGAGATTGAGCTTGCTAAGACGCGTGACAAGTCACCCCGGAAAAGAAGACACAAACCCAAAAGTTGGTGGGATGAGGAAGTTAAGAGAGCCATAGCAAAACGTCAGGAAGCCTCTAGGGAACACAGACATGCTAAGCAGCGGGGTGAACCGACAGATGATGTGGAAAGAAAATGGGCAACCTTTCTAAGCTGTAGAAGGGATGCATCCCTTCTGATCAATGAAAAGATTAGAAGGAAGGGAGCTCAGTGGCTGGCAGAAGTACATAAAAAAGATAGAAAGGCAGCTGCGAAATTTTGGAACCATTTAAACTCCCTAAGAAATGAGACGAGCCTAGAGCAGAACTTTATAACTACAGCCCAAGGTGCTAGGCTAGAAGGGGACGAAGCTATTGAATATATAAGAACAAGGGTGACAGAAAAATTTCAACAAAGAAGTACTTTATGCACCACAATAGACAAAGACGAATCAAGTGGTGCAATGGCTCCATTTTCACAACAAGAGTGGGAAAGGGCTGAGAAAAGGGTTCCTAGTAGTACATCAACAGGCCCAGATGGCATTCCAATTAGGCTGATAAAAACATTAGGTCCGAAGTCTAAGCAGGCTTTGAGAGAGGCAGTGAGTACAATAATAATCGATGGTGAAGTTCCCGATGGATGGAAACTTAGCAGGATGAGCATGGTCTATAAAGGAAAGGGGGACAAAGCTGACATAAACAACTACCGTCCTATAACAGTGACATCAGTGGTCTACAGGCTGGCGATGCAGATTATAAAGGAAAGACTGCAGGCGTGGATAGAGGATGAGGGGGTGCTGGGGGAACTGCAGAATGGGTTTCGGAAACACAGGAGGTTGGAAGACAATCTGTTCTCACTGACGCAGTGCATCGAAATAGCAGAAAAAGAACACAGGCCCCAGTGGCTAGCATTTTTGGATATCAAGGGAGCGTACGATAGCGTGGTTCAAGAGGAACTGTGGGGAATACTGGACACACTAGGCGTGGAACATGTAGTCACTAATCTTTTAAAGGGTGTCTATAAAGGTAACAAGGTAGTTATAAAGTGGGAAAAACAGGTATCCAAGCCGGCAGAGGTAAAACGGGGGCTTAGGCAGGGGTGCCCCCTGTCACCCTTATTATTCATGATGTACCTACAAGGATTAGAGGCAAAATTAGAGGGAAGTGGACTGGGCTTCAACCTCTCTTTAGTCAAACAAGGAAAACTTATTGATCAGGCACTACCAGCATTAATGTACGCAGATGATATAGTGCTAATGGCCAACAACAAGGAAGATTTGCAGAGATTGATGGACATCTGCGGTAATGAGGGAGATAGGTTAGATTTTAGATTCAGTAGGGAAAAATCAGCAGTCATGATTTTCAATGACAACGAAGGTAGTGAGCTTAGAATACAGGAGGTCACGCTAGAGATAACAGATAAATACAAATATCTGGGCGTATGGATAAGCAATGGGACCGAGTATCTGAGGGAACACGAAATATACGTGACGACTAAAGGTAACAGGAATGCAGCAGTCATGAAAAATAGGGCACTGTGGAATTACAATAGGTATGATGTTGTGAGAGGAATATTGAAAGGGGTCATGGTTCCTGGGCTGACGTTCAGCAATGCGGTCTTGTGCATGAGATCAGAAGTTCAAGCAAGATTAGAAATTAAGCAACGTGGAATAGGTAGGCTTGCTTTAGGAGCTCACGGGAATACACCAAATCAGGGAGTACAAGGTGATATGGGATGGACATCATTTGAGGGCAGGGAAGCTAGCAGCAAGATAAAATTTGAGAAGCGATTGAGAGAAATGAAGGAGGAGCGTTGGGCTAGGAAGGTTTTCAGCTACTTGTACATGAAGAATGTCGATACAAAATGGAGGAAGCGAACCAGGAAGTTGACTGGTAAATACTTAGAAAACAGCAGGTGGCCAAACCAAAAAGAACTATCGGTTAAGAAAAAAGTGAAGGAAACGGAGACTGACATGTGGAGAATGGGCATGATTAAGAAGTCCGCACTAGAGATCTATCGAACTTTTAAGCAGGAAATTGCCAAGGAAAGGATCTATGATAATACTCGGGGTAGTTCTCTACTGTTTGAGGCCAGGACGGGAGTACTGCGAACCAAGACATATCGGGCCAAATACGAAGGGGTAGACACAGTATGCAGTGCGTGTGGAGAGGAAGAAGAAACTGCCGAACACTTGATAATGTTCTGTAAAGGGCTTCACCCTATAGTTCAGGATGATGGCGCAGAGTTTTTCAAAGCACTGGGGTTTAGGGACCGGGAGGGCAAAATAGACTTTAAGCGGGTAGACTTAACTAGAAGGAGGTTATCTGATTGGTGGCTAAAGTCAAGGCACGAGTGAAAATTAAACCCTTCACTGCGAAGTACGAATCCTCAACTTCATTATTTAAAGGAAAAAAAAAGATAAATGTAATGGTTAGTTCACTAAGTATTACGGCTACGTGGCGTTAGCCGCCGCCCGATCTAAAGGGTACAGCCACATCCATCCATCCATCCATCCATCCATCCATCCATCCGCACTCTGCGCGTCGTCTGCTACACCGGAGGAAACGCGGTGCGGCGCGGCCGTGTTACCGCTCGCATTTCAAAGCGTTTCGCTTTGCTGGCGGAACAGCTCGTGCCAAAGCAGCAGTTTCTTCGTATACATGCATTTCATTGTTGCTGCGCCATTTTCATCTGGTGGAATTACGTGTCTGGGCTCCATCTATAGCTACCGTCGCCAGTACATTCTTATGTGGGCATAGGCGGCCTCGCGCGAGCATAACTGTAAAAAAAAAAAAAAGACACCCTTCAAAGAAAACGTAGATGCAGTAAAACTTTTTAAAAGCATAGTGCTCGTTTCTGATGCCACATAGTCATGCGCCGTTTACCGAACAGACTCGTCAATCTGATTTCGGTGTTTTTTTCCTTTCCTATTCCCGTGAATCTTATTTGAAGATAACATGGTGAGAATAATAATACTGAGAAAGTAAAAATGGCAAATTCAGAAGGAACATATATTTTCTTGCACATACAGAATAGTATAGCATCGTTCACTGAGCAAGAAAGGCAGCTCAAAGCAGCTTAGCTTTTTTTCTTGCATTTTGAACTTTTTCCGTGACAAGCAGTTCACGGTTCTTCTTTCGAGAGAAGAAGTGCATGCGCATCAAACAATAGCATTTGATTATCTTTGCGGTGAGGAATTCATGGTGCTCATTACAACCAATTGCAGGCAGTGCAGTCGCATGAAGCCTGTCCAATACCATCCAGAAAATATCCCCGAACACTGCCGACGTTTCAAGCGTATCGTGCACAACCTCTTCTACTTCCTTAATTAATGCGTACAGCCTAAATGAGGCCTCTCGAAGGCATCCTGGCTTGAATGACCTCAACTCTGTCAGGCGCCTCTGGTTGAGCTGTGTTTCCTCGGAGTTGAACTGATCGGGAGAAGCTGTGAGCAACGCACAGCATTCTTCGCACGTTATTGTTTTCGTGATTTTCTTGTGCACATAACCGGCTAGATAGTACACCACCATCTCATGTGCTCCAGCTTTTTGGTACCCATGATCCCGTTCGTCACAGCAAACGTCCTCGGTACAAACCATCCCCAGAAGCTTCTTATCCAGCTTTGCTTCAACGGCGAGTTTTAGCTCAGCTGCCGCTTTCGCCTTTTCAGCAAGACTTTCATGAATTGAAACGAGGACGCCCTCAGCCGGTCCAGGGCAGTTCCCCTTTGCGGCGTTTCTCACAGGTGTAAAAAGGGACAGCAGGCGATAAATCTGGCTGAATTGAATAATCGTGGGGTGGTCGTCGTCACCGTGGAATGACCGGACTATTCCGAAAAATCTCTGCAAAAGAAAAACGTTTAAACATCGCTGAGGGATAAAAAAGAAGACAAAGGAACGGCAGAAATGTTTGCGTAAGAGAGAACGCGATCGCGCAAAACTGTTTTGAAGGGCATCGTTTACCGACAAGAAAAGAAATTAAAGACCACGTAAGCACAGTGTAAATGTAAAGAGACATCCCCCTCGCGAGGGGCACGATCAAATGCGGAGCATTTCCGGGGGTGCACGACGTTAAGTAGTTTGCGTAACGTTAATGTTGTTGCACTTGTTTCTGTTGGTTGTTATATCATTGCTATCTCTCCCCACTCAATCACCATTTAACCTTAGGAAGCCCTAACCACACTGCTGACGAGAGAGCGCCGATACCCGCTTTATATGCCTAACCATCATTTTCTTTTCTACCACAGCTCTTCTTAGCCAATCCCCCTAAGTGGGTATGCACCCATCTCCCCGCGAGGGGGACTTGAGTAAATGCGTCGCATAGGGGGTGGGTGTATTGCGTTAACGTTTTGTGGCGCAGTGGGAAGAGCACCATGTACCTCGCGTTCCGCCCACAGGTAGTGAATGCATTGTATCAGTAGCTTCTTGACGTAGTTTGAATGAGTCAAGGATATAAGGCTCGTTCGTAGTATTGGATTCTGTGTCGGTTTTGTGGCTCAGTGGGTACAGCACCATGCTCCTTGCGTTCCGCCCGCAGGGTCATGGGATCGAAACCGGGCGCCGGTAACTGCTATTTTTTTATAGTGTAGTGGCCTGGCTGCGGACTACGCTACTCAACGCGGGTCACATCGTGAGTTACTGAAATGCCCTGCATTTAAAATGCCATTAGACGATTCCTAAAAGAATCTGCACACACAAAAAAACTTCGCATCAAGCACATTTCCGTATGCCCAGTATAAACAAGGGAATTGGCCCGTGTATATTGCAAAAGAGGGGCACCTTTCCCTAACCGTAAGCCACACCAGCACTTCCCCTCTTCCCGCCCTCTCCCCCTTACTCTGCGATGCAACGGCAGGAAAATCCTGCCGACGCCATGGTATTTAGTGCAAGACGCTAAATTCACACACTTTGTGAAAGAAAGCATTTTAGCACATTTCTTGACATTGAATATTTGAGTCGACTCCATATGGTACAAAGGCCCAGGGCACATTACCTCCAGTGGATCTTGGTTCAGCTTTGCTGTGAGAACATATGGAACACCGGCCTTGTGTAGTTCATCAATTATGTCGATGATAGAAAGCAACGTCACGCGCAGAGATTCCGTGGTTTGACGCGACGCGAACAAGAGCGTGTTCTTCGTATTGTGGTTAAATTCCGTGGTGTCAAGCATCACAAGGAAGTCCTTGATGACCTGCGAAAAATTGAGAGAAATACAGAATGCTACATCATTAAAATGAATCAACTCAAGGAAAATAATACCGCACAAACAGTTTAACCTGAAGAAAAGGCGAATGAACCACGGTTTAAACGTGTTGCTCACCTGGATTTTCGGCGAGTTGGCTCTGATTCCTTCCTTAGGGAGCTTAGCATTCAAGGAATCGAATACATCATTTATCATTTGTGTGAATGCCTCTGTTTCAGCTGTGTCCTGAAAGCCATCAGTGCCCTGTTCTCTGTAGACACGGAGGCCAATGGCTGTACTCCGGCTAAAAAGCTGCAGTATAAAAGTAGTTTTTTTATGTTTCAAGGAAGTTGTCCAATACAGTAACACCGTCAGAGCATTACAAAGTTTTTCATCACTGACTAGTGCTCACCCGAACTGCAAGTCTCACGTTCATTTTTTGGAAGTTTGTCGGCTGCACATGAGCTTCAGTTAGCTTGTGGGCAACTTTTAGATGTTTCTTCTTTTCAGTTTCGTAAAGCAGCTGATAGTGGGAGAAATCAATGCGGTTCTCTCCAGCCTGGAAATGCAAAAAGAACTGATTTTAATATATGCGAAGGTAAAAGGCGACACAAAAGAAAATTATTGTTCTGCCACCCACCTGGCCATACTTGTGCTTGAGCAGATGATTTCGCACACATTTGATGGCATGTGGTACATCACAAATGAAATGCACAAACTTCCCATCAGGGAGAAACGGGTGGGCAATCTTATGGCATGGTGCTGCCATGCTGCCACTAACACCTAGCTGTTGCCACATGGACCGGTTGTTTCCCGCACCATCGCTCACAATGGAAATGACTGTAGCATTATGCTTGTGAAGGCGCACCACTGCTTCCAGGACTAGTTCCGCCAAAATTTTGCCAGGAGCAGCACCTTTTGTCGCGAACGCTGCAATTAGCTGTACCCAGGATTCAAACAGAGGAACAAACATCAATACTAGCGCATGGTCGGCTAGCTGGTTGGTTCCTTCATTCGTGACGCCTCCATAATCAACAAATCCGTCCATCTTGTAGCTGCATTTGTTGAAGTCATATGCCTGGCGCAACTTGATCTCGTCTAAGATCAAAGACCCCAACCTTTGCTCATCTGCTTTTCCATGAAACTGCTTCTGTATAGCTTCCAGACAAACGGGGTTGAAGCCGTACTTGCACGGCAAGCCTTTCAAAATTTGTGCCAAGCGGCTAAGAGAAGGCAGCGGCAACATTTTCATCTCGCTAATCAGCTTGTATGCCCGTGGACTTGAAATTCTCAGCATCAAGCAGTTCAAAATCCACTCAGAATTATACCGCATGCCACACGGAGCTTTTGCTTTGAGTGACTTCAGTGCTGTCAGGAATGCCAGGCGTTGCAAGTGAGGAAGGCCACTTAAAGCTTCTTCTATTCCTTGGTAGGAAGCCTTCGCAAGCTCCTGTTTGAGCAGTGTGATTTCTTGCTTCCCCTTCTCCCTTGCAGCTGCAGCTCGGAAAACTTTTTTGGTCAAGTTTCCCATTTTTTTGCTTTTGTTCACCGCTGCCTTCATTGGCTTTCTTGCTCGCATTTGCCTTTGGAGGCGTAGGCACCGAACACATACAGGTCGGGTTGTGAGGACAGAACACAGCTTGTGATGGACATTTTCTAATTTTCCTGTCACACCAGTGTGAGCTACCTGAATGCCTGAACAGATTTTCAAGCTATCTGTCTCATTGAGCAGGTGCTCGACGCTAGCAGTGCTGTCTACAGTCTTATGCAGTTGCTTGTGCATCTTGTTGTAACCGTTCACAACACAGCTACCATCATTTTTCACAATAACGGCCTTGCTCACTTTGAGCTCCCCTGCCACAAGTCGCCTGTCGAAAAAAACACCGCAAGTTTGCCCAGAACATTCATCGACGATGAGTTCAAGCTTCCAGTCCCTACTAGGTAACGGCACTGTCACCAGTTCGTTCAGACAAACACCGGAGGAGTTCGTTGCTGAGGTGCTAGGTGGTGGCGTGATGCCCACTGCTCCAAGCGAATCGCCTAAGGACAAAGAGGCCTCTCCACACGAGCCACTCGAACAAGACGCACTTTCCGCCGATGCTTCCAAGCCGATTTCGTTCCGCTTTTTCGGTGATTTTCGCGTGCATTTCGTCTTTCCTGGCTTAGATATGTGCTCCGGCAAGCCAGGAAAGAGACGCGGCAACGCTCCTGGCACTAACTTCCAGTTACCACGGGGAATTAAAACCTCCTGGCCCTTTACAACATGCTTGAAATACTTTACAATGTCTTGCTCTTCGAAATGTCTCTCACATACCTTGGACTTTTGCGTGAGGCGCCTGTCCTTGTGGTGCAGCATGTGTTCCCATTGTTTAAACTCCGTGGCCTTACGTGGTGGGGTAAAAAAATGATGATTTGCGGCGTCATTTCTGTAGCCACTCGTACATCCCGGCGCAAAACACGAAGGCATTTTCACAACAAAAAAGCGAACATTCGGAAACCGGAAGATTCAGGCGCACGTGTGGGGAACGAAATCGCTTCGAACGACGCGCGCCCGCCAAAGCACCCGCCTGTCCGCGCGCCCGATCAGGAGCAAGTGAAGAAAAGCGTGACTGCAGCGCCACTAGTTCGCGTGACCGCCACCACGGCCGCCTCGGGAGCGGAGCTAGGGTGGCTAGAATGGGGAGGTGTGATGACTGCGGCGGCGGCCTCTTGCCTAGCGAGGCCCCTCTGCGCGTTCTCGCCGCTGGGGGAAATTTGGCGCGTCAGTCTGGGGCGCTGTTGGCATGTGCCGACTGTGAGCATGTGTTGCTCGTGTCTCGTAGGTGATGGAGCAGCGCAAGTTAGCTGTTGCTGTTCGCGAAGTACGGCCTGCTTTTTCTATCGCTTCCCGATTTCTTGAAGGAGATGATGTCAGCGGTTGTCGTCGATTTTTGAACCGCTCTGAAGAATGCTGTCAACGGGGAAAAAAAAACGCAGAGGTGGTGCTTTGTACCAGGTTGCGACGCCAGCTACAAGTCCTGCGGTGAAAGACTGTCTCTCTTTCGTGCACCTGCCCGTGAGGATGAATTTGGGGATGACCCAAAGTTCGTATGGAATTCGTACATGTTTAAGCTTATAGAAAAGTTGAGGTTTCTACAAGTTAACACACTGACCCGGTGTGACACACGGGTCATGAGCAGCATAAGTGCAGTGTAAAGAGCCTGGCTAATTCAGATGATCGGTTGTTCTTGTACTTACATTGACATGTTGCTCCACGTGGGTGCGTTCTGCCTCCATCGACCCGCGGCTAGATGTGTGTCACCTAACGCTGCAGCACATGCATTAATTATTGTTTCGTTGCGTGGAAATCCGAAGTGTCTTCATTACAGAGGCTACGCTCAATTTTATTACGTTTTCAGGTTTATCATGAGACACTACGTGCACATTGTGAATGGAAAGGAGGTCCATATACCACGCGATGTGCCTGCCCTTAAAGAGAGTGCTATTCCAACAATTTTCCCGAACCTTACAAAGTATATGACGAAAACTCTGCCAAACTAGAGGAAGAAGAGAATGGGACAGGGCACTTCCGTGCCTGCAAAGAAGAGCCGCGAGGACATTGACGATTCAGAATGCGAATCGGTTCAGCTCATTCCTCATGACAAAGTGGACATAGTCAACGATGAAGTACCTCGGAAACACTTCATTTTTGGTCTTCGACTACCATCGGAGTATTGGTCACGTCAGACATTCCAAAACAAAAACATAGCGATTTACCAAACAGCTGAACATCATAAAAGCAAAGTACCTCCTGTTGCCTTCAACAAGTTCGAAATTGGAGAGCGAAATTCACCCTCCTGCACCATTTTCCTGGCTGGCCACCTTCACTGTCAGCGCACCATTGAGTCTGAGGAAGAGGCCCAAGAGCTTCTGGTGTATGCAGAAAAACTCTCTGTGTGTTGTGGAGTTGGAAATACCAGCGAGTTTAAGCGATTAGATGTGTCTGACTGCCCAACATTGTCAGCAAATGGCCTGTTCTCCGCTGTGTGTGATGGATCTGTGTCACAAGGTATGTTGTGTTCTGGTACAAACGTCTTGGGCATCACAGCTGTGAAAAATTATTTCATATACTTCACATTTCGCCCATTTTGTTGTTTCTTCCAGGTATGCCGGCCCATATGCCTCAGCGGTGTCTGAAGTACAGAGAAATGAGGCGAATCTTCATGGCTCGTTTGCTGCGCTTAAAAAATAAGGTGCCACGCCCATTGGTAAAGACAGCTGGAAGGAGATTGAAATGTGCCGTTCGCACTTTGGGGCGGCGGAGTAAGAAAGTGTGCACTTTCATGACGTCGTACGAACGTTACGACAAAGCAATTCCTCTATCAAGGAAAACATATTTGAGGCAAAGGTAAGGTGCTGTATTTTTACATATTTAGCGTCATGAATAAAGCTTCCTATTTCGTGCATTTGTTTCAGATCAAGCAGCTTCCGAAGAAGCAGCAGTACGCAGTCCGAGCATGTTTTGAGGCATCGAAGCGGAAATCCATGCGAGGATATCGATACGACAAAGCGTGGCTCTTAGAGTGCATTGTTTCAAGGATCAAGAGCCCGAGCTTTGTAATGTTATGTAATGTTTTAAAGTACTGTTTCCAATAAACTTGTATCAAGCCACCAGTCTTGTACTTTATTGCACTCTTATGCTGCACTGCATAAAAACTGCATTGACTTCCACTCTTTAAAGAACCATTGCAATCGACAATGTATAACAAATCTGTGAGCGACACACGCAGGGTTGTTGCCACCTGCTGGTCTGCGGGAAAGATTCCTCAAAACTATTTTTCGCGTGACAAGCGCGCCCACCTCGCAAGAAGTGGCCGCGAAACCCACGCTCTGTATCGGCTGCGTGGTTTGCGCTTTTAGATTACACGTGCAAGTTTCTCGACGTTAACAACATACTTGAAAAGACTACAGCGGTAAAACTGAGCGCGGTCGAATCATTTACCCGCCCAGAGGCAAGTAGACGACGCGAGAAAAGCACAGCGCCCCCACCGGCAGCGCCACCGCGCGGCAGGAACGCGCTTTCGGGCCAGCCTCCGGAGGCCGGTCATCACACCTCCCCATTCTAGCCACCCTAGCGGAGCTGTGAAACTGAATTGACCATTTGCGGAAAAGCTTCTGCGCATGCGCGGTAACGGCGCAGCTGGCGCCCTCTATGGGCGCTTTGGTTTTGGTTGGAAAACACGAGCCGGGCCGGCCGTCACTCGTGCATCTCTGTGCCGTCACTGAACTAAGTCGCCTCGCTTTAGCAGCGTACAGAAATGCCAGCGCACTGTGTGACCTACGGCTGCACGAATTATTTTACTCAGAAAGGAAGCACGCATTTCTACAGGTTCCCGTCCGCGAGGCTACGTGCCGAAAAGAGAGATGCTTGGGTAGCTGCTGTGAGGAGACAGAATGCCGACGGTTCGCCGTGGGCGCCCAACAAACATTCTCGGATCTGCAGCGCGCATTTCATAACAGGTACGGTAATTTTAAGTGCTTATAACTTGGTTTGTGCAATCAGAAATCACGTTTACTGCAGGACGGCCGTCAAAGTTCAAGAACCATCCTGACTTCGTCCCCAGTGTGTTCACCTACGTGAGAAGTCGCGGCGATGCTGCTGTGCGTCGCCATAGCCGACGATGCGACCGGTAGCCACGACGAACCATGCCGTTGTTACATACACGCCGGACTTCATGGACGGTGCGCACGCCGCTCTCACCAGACCTAGTTCGTCATCAGATGTTTGGAGGTTCAACTTCAAGTGTTTGACGTATCCTTCTTCCTTGAAGGACCAGCCGCGATGAGCCTGGCGAACGGTCGAAGTAGCGGAGTGTAGGTACCGCCACACGTCGTCGTTGCTCAGGCTGCAACGCGAAAAATCCTCGCTCCATCCCGTTTTCACAAACGCAAACGGGATGTTTTCTTCTTCTATCATGTTGTTTCCGTAAGCAGCGCACGTTTCCGGCAAAGAAACAACACTAAATCAATAAAACAAGCGCACGCGAGCCGCCGAACGCTGCCTAGCACATGTTAGTTCACGAAGGCCTTTCCAACCAAAAGCGCGAGCGCTGCTTCCCTGTTTAGACGGCAGGTGGCGCTCGCTTTTCCGCAATGTGTCAATTGTTCTAAAAACGTTGGTTAAAGGTGGGAAGTAGACACGAAGCGCAAGCCGTAAGAAAGTGTGTGTGTGCCTCCTCTCGTTCAGTCCTTGGAATGTCCGCTGGATGGCGGTGCTTCTATATAAGGAATATATGATGAAAAGATGCGAGATGGTGATATTTGGAGTGTTGAATAGGTGGACGAACAGACACACAGACAGATGCATGAACGGACGCACGGAAGGCTGCACGGACGGATGAACGCATGGACGGACGCAGGAGCAGATGCATGGACGAACGCAGGGACGGACGCACGGATGAACGTACGGACGCACAAACAGACGCACGCACGGACGGGCGGATGGACGCACGGGCGGCCACACAGACGCACGCATGGATGGACGGAAGCAAGAACGAATGGAAGGACGGATGCTTCGCCCCACTCTGCCATCATTCACTCCGTGGATATGCTGCCATTTTTATATATAATGCGCTTGGACGTGGCTTGGGCTGCGAGTAACTCCTTGCACCAGCCTTCTACTTCAGTGCTCGACCTTTTGGCCGCCGCTCGCACGTCACTCTTTGTTTCAGCGGCACTAGCTGTTTTACTGTTTTGAGCGTTCGCGATAGCAGTGAACAAAACACCGACGTGGTGCTTCAGTGCATCAGTTTGACAGAGCTAAGATAAAGGGCACGCGTAAATTCAAATACTAATATCCATAGCCGGTAATCGACCATATTCGTTAATTTTCTATTATAACATTTCACAGTAAACGTGGCATGCCCTTCGCGCAAGAATCGTGGTCACAAAAGTTCACTACGCATCAGCGTATACCTTCGTAGTTATGGCAACATTTCACCGTGACCTCCTCACACACGAGGTCGGGCGGCAGTGAGGCCCACGGGACGGCTCTTAGCTCTCCCATAGTAGAGTACCGAGTACTCTAAATCGTTACCCACTTTCTTATACACAGATTGGACCATAATGCACTCATCGTGAGGGACGTTGCTGGGACGGCTTTCTGCTCTCCCATTGTAGAGTACCAAGCGCTCTAAATCAATAAACACATTTAGGGGCGAAGCTCCTTAACGCGGCACCCGTTCGTCCCTCGTCGTAGTACGCAACATGTCTTACGCTTTGACCTGCAAGGTGGTTCCGGTGGGAGATTTCTCCTGTGCGTTGTTGAACAATAATAAAAATCGCAGTGTGTGCGTTAACTAAAAGCCGAATTCTCCTGTCTCTCATTCTCCGTTAGCAGCCGTTGTCATGTACATTGAGCACTATCTGACAAGAAAGGGTTGCTACGTTATGCTCGCTGGGCGTAACATCTTTGGTTTTAGAAAGGTTTAGCGAACGTTGGGCCGCAGTGCCATGAATACAGTGAACTAGTATATACCATGAACTCGAGGTGCTTAAAAGTGGGAAGTAGACACGAAGCGCAAGCCGTAAGAAAGTGTGTGTGTGCCACCTCTCGTTTAGTCTTTGGAATGTCCGCTGGATGGCGGTGCCTCTATATGCGGAATATATGATGAAAAGATGCGAGATGGTGGTACTTGGAGTGTTGTGTAGATGGTCGAACGGAGACACAGAAAGATGCATGGACGGGCGCACGGATGGCTGCTTGGATGGATGGACGCATGGACGGACGCAGGGGTGGATGCATGGATGAACGCAGGGACGGACGCACGGATGGACGTATGGACGCATGAACAGACGCACGCACGGCCGGGTGGATGGACGCATGGACGTTCACACAGACGGATGCATGGATGGACGGATGCTTCGCCCCACTCTCCATCATTCCCCGTGGATATGCTGTCATTTTTTTATTAATGCGTAACCTGCGTTCGTAACGCCGATAGTTATAGCGCGAGAACAAAACGACGACACAGAGACAAGAAGGACACGAAAGACACGAGCGCTCGTGTCTTTCGTGTCCTTCTTGTCTCTGTGTCGTCGTTTTGTTCTCGCGCTATAACTATCGTCATGCCATGCCAACTAGCCCAAGCTGCGACACTTCGTAACGCCATTGCGTATATATGTCAGAGCTCTGCATATCGCATAAAACGCATGAGCCAATGTATTTGGCGCGTCTTATGCGAAAAGCAGCTTACATACAAACACAGCGCCGTTACGAACACTACGCTGTGCCAAAACTCACTACTAAGTCCAACTATGGGAAAATATTAAGAAACAGAATAATATCGCATGCATAATGACTGTTTCTCAAAGATACAGTTAAAAACTGATTACACAAGGTTGCTCAGTAACATCGCGGTAATGAACGTTTCCTCACCTGTAGTAAGCTTCGTACTTGAAGAAGGCCCTGTCGTCGATGGCGTCTTCTGGGATGACAACGCTGACCTCAATGTCAAATGAGCCGAGGCATTCATTGAGGTTCTGTGTGAAGAAAAAAAAAGAAAGAAAACATCTCGAGAACTGCACCAACAGCACGCATCAAACTAGCTGGTCAGAAGTTGTTTCAATCTATAACCTTTCAGATGCGTCTACCCGATATCATGAATGCCACAATTTAGTCGAGATCAATGTTCCACCTACGTGTCTTTAATGCCGCTCGCCCATTGCATTTGGTGAAATTCTTGCTGACGTGGATAGACTCCACGCTAATTTTTGTTCGTCAACTTTCATAGCTTCAGTGCACGTCTGACTGTTAATTGGGTCTTCCCGGCCACGCTTCCATCTGAGTGGCATATACGAAATCAACTCAAACAGTGCGTCGATGCGTGACGCGACGATAGGCAGAAGCCGCGAATATCCGAGGTCACGTTTACAAGTGTTTCCCCTGGGGCTAGTTGGACCATGGCATTGTCAAATGAAACAATGTGCTGCATACATGAACAGATATGAACAGCACAAGAACACGAAACGGGCAAGGACAGTGCGACAGTATCGCTGTTTATTGTGTCGCGTGATTTATTGCTCTTGAGAAGTTCCACTGTCTCTCAAGAACCGGCCTGAGACAATCTTTCCTTTTTCTTCTTAGTCGCTCAACTAATCATCCCACCCCTGCACTCTCTTAAGGTTTAACCGCGCGAAAAAAAAAACACAGTGGACAGGGAAAAGACGAGACAAACGCTGACTTCCAACTAAATTTTTATTGACAAGAAGGCTGTCAATATACCCGAGTGAACAGAAGAAAAAAACTGTGACAAAATGACAGATGTAAAGATACGAAATATCGTCAACAATCACTGAGCCTGCTACTCCAACCCTCGCACCCCATAGAGTTTCCCACAATACTTACTAGAGGGAGCTCTGGCGCAAGTGTCTATGGGAGCTACAACGCACGGCGCTTCAGCGAGCATGGGAATGATGGGTAGTACACACATTTGTCTAATATTAGTACTTCTGGCCTGCTTTTGGCTTCATGTGTGTTCGTGTGGCTTGGAGCTGTTTTCTTACAAAACAAGTGTTAGCAAATGTTCAGCGGTTGCGCTTCACCATTTTATTTTTTTTACTTACTTTCCAAATTGGGTCACGAAGTTCAAAAGGGTTGAATCTTTCTTTCAAACCAAAACCGAAACACAGTAATAAACGAAGCTGCAAGTACGATTCGCCGCCCGCAAGTACGAAGACTAGGCAAATGTGTGTACTACCAATCATTCCCATGGTCGATGAACGATCGCAGCGCCAGAGTGCCCTCTAGTTAATTTTGAGAAACTCTATGTCGCACCCCAAAAAACATATCTAGCTCTCTTTCTGACAGAGCAACTGATCGTTTGCTTAAGCATGCGCTCCTTTTTTTTTTTGGGGGGGGGGGGGGGGGGGGGGCTAGTTGGCTAAGCAAACTAACCCAGTCAGCCACTTTGTTTGGCTGCATTCTCTGGAAGTTTTCTACACCCAGCATCGTTTTGCGCTGCCGCCGTGATGGGAGGCGTTCAAAGCTTTCTGCACCACCCGTGGTTTTACACAGCCTCGGGGATCGGTATACACCTTTGACCAAGTAACAACGCCGTGTGAAGACGTCGCTATGTGACATGACGTTATCTGACGTCGCTGTGGCGTGATAGCTTTGTCCTAATGACGTCGCAAAGTTAGGTGATCTGGTGCCTCATAATGACGTCATATGGTGACGCCACAAAGTGAGCGTTGCATCGTTCGAGTCGACTTTGTTTCGTATCACTATTACGGATTGGTAAGGCATATGAGGCTTTCGCGTTATTGAGCTTTCAGCTTGAATGAGTAAGACCTAGCGCAATTACCCATTTCACTGTAGATGGACGTTGCTGTTAGCGAAAAAATGCTCACCACGATGAACTGGTGGTAGGCGCCGTCGGTGCCAGCCGGCGGGTGGAAAAGCACGCCTTCGCCCCCCGTGCGCTCCGAGAGCTTGTGCAGGCTGCGGCAGAGGCGCACCACGGTCATGTTGGTGACGTCGGCCGAGGCGAGGGCGCGGAAGCCGTCTTTCATGGCCCGCGGCCCACCGATGCCCACGAATAACCGAACCCAGGGGTAGGCCTTGCGACGCTCGGCGATGGCGCTGTACCGTTCTGTTGGCCGGAAGAGTGAGTGAGTGAGTGAGTGAGTGAGTGAGTGAGTGAGTGAGTGAGTGAGTGGTTCGCCGTGCCATAGATACCAAATATCGATCAAAAATTGGGGGACCCTTAAGCTTCACCTTCAAGAGTTGAACGCGATATCGAAATCCGGCCTCTAGTGCACCCTTCAACCGCTAAGTGCATACTTATCCATGTGTTTTGTTACATACACACGCACGCACACAAACGCCCACACAGTAGATTGAACCAGCGCGTGCTATTATCGCCGAATGGGCTCGTTTTCGTCGTGACACCTATCGAACAAAATGCGTTAAAGGAGCCCTGAAACACTTTTTCAAGTAACCATGGAACGAATTCACTAGAAGAGCTTATTGCGTCACAAATTCAACGCCACAAAAATTTTAAGAATC